AGGAATGAGTTCATCCAAGATTATTCAGCAGAACTCAAGAGTCTTGATTCCCAGACCCAGAAGGAGAACTAGAACTCTCCAAACCCCATTCTTTGTGGGAGAGCAAAAGAACTGCCAACTCTGAAGAGACAGAGACTGCTCAACCAGGACTCACTTCTGGTCTTGGGGGACATGAATCCATGGGAATGCTCTGCCGGTTTGAGTCTGGCAGTAGCATCCACCTGATCTGTTTACTAGGGGCAGAGTCCAGAGGAGAGGACAAGAGGGTGGGGACCACAACCTGTGATCAGAAGGCAGCAGGGCTGGACAGGTCCTGCTGAGTATACTTGACACTACGTGGGGTGCAGGTTAGTGGGAGGAGGCCGTACAACAGGGACAGAATCAGGCCAGCCTAGGGCTCAGAGTCAGTAACTGTCAAATGGGCCTAAGCAACAGAAATTCCAGATGGGCCTCCTTGGCCCACTTAGGGAGCCAGGCCCAGGTTTCTCTGACACTTTCCTTCATGCTTGCTATCTGAGCTCGGGCAGTCCAGCAGTGCTCCCCTAGAAGGCTGCAGGGATAAAAGCCTCCATCTGTAGTCCTGCCCGCCTCCTTGATCACAGCCCACGCTTCCTCATGGGGGAGCCAGCAAGCAACAAGCCAAAGGTGCTGCCTCACCGCCCACTGGCACGCAGCCTCAGGGAAGCGAAGAGAGAGACGAGGACCAGGCCTGAGAGGCCCAGGGTTCCTAGACCTAAGGGATCTGGCCCCGGGGGGCGGGCCAGGCTGGTAGGGGAGCCCAGGTGCCCAGGTTCTAGGGGCGGAGCCTAAAGACTCGGGGGCGGAGCCCCGAGTGACAGAGGGCGGGGCTCACGAAAGCTAGTGGGGCCGGGGCGGGGCCGGGCAAGACGGGGTCGTTGCGGTTCCCAGATTGGCAGTGCACGGGGCACGGTGACTCACCCAGGCGGCGTCCGCCCGACCCTCCGAGGCCGCGGTCTCACCACTTCCGTCTCCCGCAGCTGCTGAAGCCACGCAGGTCCGACCCCACCACGGTGCCCCTGTCCCCAACCAATCGTACCCCTGTTCTGTGCCCGCCCTGGCCAATAGCCACACGAAGTCCCGCCCTGCCCCCACCACGCAGCCGCCGCCCTCGCTCTTCGCGCCGCTCATTAGTCAAGTTGGGCAGACGCCCTCCCAGCCTTTAGCCTATCGGGTGCCGGAAGACGAGACTGTACCTGGAGGGAGGAGGTGCGGTGCCGAGAAAAGACACGACCAATGGGAAATCACAGCGCGTCCTTGCAGCAGCCAATGGGAGAGCAGTAAAAGAGGGGCTGCTGCCTAAGGCTCCAGGGGCCGGAAGTGGGGGTAGCCTGTCGCTTACTGGTAGCGCGATTGGAGGCGGGGCCTTGAAGGGGCACAGGTCTTTACAGCCACTTCCGGTGACGACCAGTCTTGGGGATACTGATCAAATATCAGTGGCACCTCGGTTGAGCCATTTCCCGTTTCGGTTTCGCTGCGGTCATCCCGTCCCAAAGGCAGAAAGGGAGAAAAGACTCCACACAGGCTAAGAGAGGAAGGAGGGCTGGGCCTGAGGCTCTGTCTCGGTCTTCGGCTAGCGGCGGGAGGGTTTTCCCTCTTCTGCGTCTTGAGGGGTTCCCTTCGACCCTCACTTTTCATCGGCAAACCAGCCGTCGCGTCCTTCATGACCTGCATGGTGCTGTCAGTCCTGAGTTAAAGATCTCTCACCTGAGAGATAGGAAACCTGGATCTGAGACTGCCACTAGCTAGCTGCCACTTCTAGACTGTAAAGGGAGAGGGGAACAGCTAGCTCTTCGCTCCTCCCTCTCCTGAGGAGCTAAGCAGACAGCAGGGCGGAGGGTGGCCGCTGGAGGGCGCCGTGGCCCCGCGATATCACTAACCCGACAGAAATGGAGGACAGTTGATTTAGATTTTCAACCAATAGCTTCAGTTCGGGAGTGGTCCTGAATGCTATAAAACAAGGCTCCGGGGCAAAAATGTCTTAATGTGTCTGTTTATAGAACATTGGAACTTTTTACTACAGTTAGTAAATTCCAGGAAAACAAGACCCTTGCCTGTGTTTACTGCTTTAACTCCAGGGTCTAGAAGTATGCGTAACCTGACAGATGCTTAATAAAAATTTCTTAAATGAATACTGAACTCTTCCAGGACAATGACTAGTTTATTCATTCCCAACACTTATTATACAGTGTTTGGTAATTACAGAGATTTCGACATTTGTCCAATGCTCTATCATAGGCTTCCTAGAATGCAGAGCTTAATTCTGCATATCCCTTTCTCCAATCAGGGGAAATAGGAAGGCAGGAGGCTGCATCAAGTTAATATCATGTTTTCCTAAGGGCAGATATCAGATCCAAAACTTCCGTAGAGTTGAATGTACTGTATGTGGGAAAGATGAAGAGAGGCTCAGGCCCCAGATAATAGAGGCAGGAGAAATATGGTCAGTAAAATGGAGTGGCCAGGCTGAAATCTAGCAAGGACTGAACTGTCATGGGAGGGAAAATTTTCTCCACTCCCCCTTCCCTACTAAACACCATAAACCAGCACCCTCTTCCAGGAGCCTTTCAAAACAGGGTCCTAAGATCTTCTTGATCTCCAGGAGGTAGTAAAGATACAGACAGCAACACAAGAAGCCACCTATAGATTCGTTAAACTTTATTTCCTCTGAGTCTCTGGGGAGGCAGCAGGGATGTAAGGCGAATTGGCAGTAGCTTCAAGGGCCTGAGCAGAGCTGGTGGTGGGAGGGGCCGGCATGGGCAGGATGAAGAGGAAGAAGTTTAAATATCCAGGGCTGAAAGCCAGCTAATGGGTCTCCTTTATCTGTCTTTGGATTTTGTGCAGCATCTCCTGCATTCGCCGCAGCTGGAATAGGCATATGCATCAAAATGGGGCCTTTTAGAGTCCTATAGTGTTAGGGAAGTGCCCCCAAGCTCTAATCCCTTGGTAGGAGGGGGCCTTGGTAGCCCCCGGGGTGTGATGGAGACCCTGGGTAGAACCTAAGACCCAGCCCAAGACCTAGATATCCACCACAGCCAGGGATCTTCCTATTCTCAAACTAAGAGATACTGAGATTTATGATCAAGCAGGGGACCTCCCAGGCTGTCAGCCCCTACCACGCCATACTGCTCTCACCTCCTCATCTTTCTCTCGGATCAGCCTCTCAGTTTCTGGATCTGTCCCTGCTGGGACAGCAGGGATGGGGAAGTCAGTACCACTCTCTCGAGTCAGTTTGCTGAGGGGAAGGGGAAAGGGGGGTTGGTAAGGCTAGGGGGACCCCGACACCTGCTTGGATTGAGCCCTGGGCCTGTAGAAGAACAAAGGAAGGGCTCGGTCTCATCCAAGGCTGTGCTTGGCATCCCGCCCCTGCCAGCTCTATTCTGGCTTTAGCCATACTTGCGATTCCGTTCCTTCACCACCAGGCGGGTCATGCTCTGGATGCACTGTGCCCGGTAGTTCTCATAATGTGTCTCCCGCGTCACATCCTTCAAGTCCTGCATGTGAGTACGCACCAGCATTGTCCTCAGCTTCACAAAATCGCAGTGCCCTGGGTTTTCCACTGCATAGCAAGGCTAGGGGTCAGCCAGGGCCATGAGGAGGGGAGAGCCACCAAGGACAAGGAGGCACCCCAGTCACAAGCTCAGTGCTTTACCTTCCACGATGCCCCAGGGGTAGAGACGGCCCCGAACTCGCCGCCCTCTGGCCTCTACCACAGTGTTGCTGCCAATTACAGCAAATGGGATGCTTTCCTGGAAGAAGTTAGGGGTGTCTGTCAACATCCCACATTCTCACCTTTTCCTTTCCACCTATATCTTTATCTTCTCTGCTTCAGTCTAGGAAACCATGGTTCTCTCCCACCGCAGAATCCCACCCTTATATAGAGCTCTACTTTTTTCTTCTGCCTAGAAGAAACGAGATGGGAAAGGGGTGCCCTGGGATGGCCCCACCTTTAGGGCTTGGTCTTGTAATTTGAAGTCCTCATCCTCATCAGAGTCACAGTCTGGGAACTGGTAGACCTTGATTCCAAAGAGCTCTATCTCCTCCCGGATCTGGCAAACACACGAGGGGCCCACAGTTCTGGGGACCCCATCCTTTCCAGAAGCCCACCTGCTCCCCTCCCCCCACCAGCTTCCCTCACTTTGCGTTTCTTGCGCTCCACTTCAAGAGGTGTCAGTGTGTCCGCCTTAGCCAAGATAGGCACGATGTTGACCCGCTGATGCAGGGCCTTCATGAATTCAACATCCAATGGCCGGAGCCTGGGGAACAGGAATCTGTGACCACCTGCTAGTGGCAGCCCTGCCCCTGGTGCTCTCAACCTGTTCCCTTGGCGGCACCCGGTGGTGTCAGGAGCCTCAGGCTCAGACCATACCCGTGGCCAAAGGGCGAGATGAAGTACAGGCAGCAGTGCACCCTGTTGTCTTGGATGTTCTTGCGGTTCAGGCCACTCTCATCTCGAAAATACTGCTCAAACTGCTGGTCGATGTATTCTGCCACAGGCTTCCAACTGGGGCAGGGACAGACAAGCACAGAAACTGTGGGAATGGGGGCTGCCCAGTGAGTTCTGGGACCACAGAGTAGCCCCCACTCTGAGCAGCATTTTTAAGACTTTGTTATTCCCCAGCTTGCTTCACTACTTCTTCAAGGAGGTACCTGGTTGGGACAGGGGTGCATCTCACATGTCCTGATGGGAAACCAGACTAAGCACACGGAGTTCAATAAATACTAGTCTGATGAAAGGAAGAGAGCCCAGGTAACCAAACAAAGCAATAAGAATAGCAAGGTGCCTGCAGGTGAACACCAACTGGGAGAAGCCAAGTGGCCCTAAGTCAGGTTCAAAGTCGAGCCTCAGAGCCTGTGTTCATGTGGTTCCACCCTCTCCTCTTCCTTTCCAAACCCACTCCATCCTTCAAGGCCATATCCAAGAACCATCTCTTCTACCGAGGCTGCTTTTACTACACCAATGCATACTGCTCTCTCCTTCTCTTCACCACACAGTGAGACAGATAGCTAGCTAGCTAGCTGGACAGACAGGCAGGCAGACAGGCAGGCAGGCAGGAAAACAGAGGTTCTTGTATATCATATATATAATTTCACTGTGTGGTAAAGAGAAGGGGAGAATATATATGAATATATATATATATATATATTTTTTTTTTCAAGTCTTTTGCTCTTCTGTTTTCTAGTTGAATCCTCACCGATAAGTGCCCTGATAGGTGGACATTCTGAGCATCACCACACTCATCATGAGGAAACTAAATCGAGAACATCTAAGAGACTTAATCCAGATCATTTGACTAGCAAATTCTCTACCCATCCGAGTCCCTGGCTTTCTGACTTAGTGTGTTTATCACTACGTTACCTGACCCATTTACTAACTTGTTACTTGATTAACACACCTTAGAGAACTATTGCTTCCCATTCTCCTGCCCCAACTGCTATTAGATTGTAAACCTCTTAGGGACAAGGATCATTTATACTTGTTCTGCATCCTTTAAAATGTCCAGCACAGGCTTACACCTAGTATATGCCCAATAAA